GAAAGGTAAAATCACCCAACCCTTTGACCTCAAGTGATTGCCATTTATATCTCTCTTTTGCTGTTTGTGCATGTGCATACATGATGAAATTAATATTCATTGGTTCGCACAGATTTGTAAACCTGCCAAATGACTTGTTCAAAGCAAATCTCTCTCGCATTTGTACTAAAATGGAAAGTGCTCAGAAACACTCATAGGTGCCAGGATCGGCCAAATGGTCAGAAGAATGTTCTATCTATTTTCTGTCCAAACGGTCTATGAACTCAGATTATTTTTTCTAGAGAGCGGTCTCCAACGATTAGAAAGGAGGGAGAGATGGGGTGGGATTTCTAGCCTCCTTATAGGTAAGTATAACCCAACTCAGATAATAACATGCGAAGTAAACTAGGTGGATGGGGAATTGCACAGACTAGGGGAAGAATGTAGACGTGGCTAGTGGAGAGCTTCCCCTCTTTTAAGGCTAAGACATATTGCACCTGTATTAAAAAGGAACGCCACATCGTGATTACTGAACCATCAAAAAGAATAATTTAGGGGGCCTTCTGCTACTCCAATGACAAGAAATGACTTCGGCCAAGCACAGTGCCCACACATACACACATACACGCATGTAGGAGATGGCATGGCGACTGGTGCACGTGGATTTGAGGGAAGGTGACGGTGGGCTGACGAGGTTTGACACCCAGACGAGGTGAGAGATAGGTCACCGGCGGAAACAGGCACCACAAACCATTATGGGAGTAGGCATCTACAATGACAGTGCACAGAACGCCACAGTGAGTGAAGTGTTAAATGTGCTGGGAGGAGCATTCCAAGCGTGCAACGCGAAACAGGGTGAGTGTGTTTGCTTCCTTGCGCCATCACTGCCTGTGGGTGTGTGCAACAGTCATGACGTCATAAAATTAATAATGTGTGCATAAATGCCGTGACCACTTCCAAAGTGCCCGCCTCACATGCGTTTTATGGCCTTCGTTAGTATTAATCAGTGTTTCGTAAGTGGGTGTTACCTTTTATTTTTGGCCTGCAAGTCGATTTCTTGTTTGTGCCTTCGGGGAGATTATTTAAAGTTAGTTATATCTAAATGGCTAGCAGAGCGTGGTCTGGTGGTGAAGCTAACTTCGAGTTTCCCCTAGCTGACGTGTCAGTGGCCATAGACACTAATGATTACGCAGTGTCGTGGACAGTTATTTCAACGTGGTTCCTAACGTGCTATGTTAAAGGGTTTTAAATCAGAATTCCTAAAGTGAAAGTTGGTGTGTTTTCACCAACGAAATCTTGCAGTTCTGGGGGAGGAGGGTAGGGGTCATGTGGAGACTCGCCATCAATCATTTTGATTGGAGGCTATCAAAGTGCTGATGAGAGTCAATCTGTGTGACGAGTTAGCCCAATAGGCATTATTGGGGCAAGTCAAATGATTGCTTGTCTTGTCTTGTTTCGCGTGAAGAATAGTAAATATGAAAAGGGATCACTCTCACTTTCAATTTTACAAAGACCACTTTTCTTGTTACTTTCTCAAGTAAAAAGGGAGATTTTAAAGGATATTCTTCAGATGTAAGACATTTCTCGCCTTTTCACTAGCCCCGTTTTCCACCGTATACTAGAATTCGCCTCCCTTTCGCCTCACCTAACGCCTTACTAGATACATAAATGAGGTGACACGAATTCACTTATGCATGCATTGTGACTTCCCCATTCATCCGTCTGAAGCCTTTGCCGGGCCTTATGTCAGTGTTCAGTGGAAGAGATATCATTGCGACTTTGTAAAATAGGCGCATGAAATCAAAGTGTGAAATTCGGAGCACTTCAGCTGAGCTTCTCTCTTCATTCGTCTGAGCACTTGAACTGATTGGTT